GTGACGCTAGTGACTCGGCTGTTGGAGCCGTACTTGGACAAAGAAAGGATGGAATTTTTCGAACCATATACTATGCAAGTCGCACCCTATCTGGAGCTCAATTGAATTATGCCACAACTGAAAAGGAGCTTTTGGCGGTAGTGTTTGCTTTTGATAAATTTCGCTCTTATTTGATTGGTTCCAAAGTCATTGTTTACACTGACCACTCTGCTCTTAAGTATTTGCTTGAAAAGAAAGATTTAAAACCTAGGTTGACTAGGTGGATCTTACTGCTGCAAGAGTTTGACTTGGAAATCAAAGACAAGAAAGCGAAAGAAAACTTAGTGGCCGACCATCTCTCTAGATTGCCGAATGCCCTTGTGGAAGAAAGACCAATCCTATATGAATTTCCTAATGAGGCACTTTTCTCTATCAAAACCGAAACCTCTTGGTATGCTGATTATGTTAATTTCTTGGTAAGTAAGGTTCTCCCTTCTGAATTGACTTATCAACAAAGGAAGAAATTCTTTTCTAATGTTAAACACTATTTTTGGGAGGATCCTTTCTTGTTTAAGGTATGTGCTGATCAAGTTATTAGGCGATGTGTTCCCAATGAAGAAATACCTAACATTCTTTTTCATTGCCATGATGGACAGGCAGGTGGTCACTTTGGTGCCTCCAAGACTGCAGCTAAGGTTTTACAGTCTGGTTTTTATTGGCCTACACTATTTAGAGATGCATATTCTTATGTTGGTGCATGTGATAAGTGTTAAAGAACTGGTAATATATCTAGAAGACATGAAATGCCTTTAAACAATATCTTAATCTGTGAATTGTTTGATGTTTGGGGTCTGGATTTCATGGGACCCTTTCCACCTTCATATGGTAATACTTATATCTTGACTGCTGTGGAATATGTTTCTAAATGGATTGAGGCCGTAGATTTGCCTTCTAATGATGCTAGAGTTGTGATTAAATTTTTGAAAAAGAATATCTTCACCAGGTTTGGCACGCCTAGGGCTATTATAAGTGATCAAGATACACACTTTTTGAGTAAGCAATTTGAATCACTTTTGCATAAATATGGTGTGACACATAAAGTAGCTGCTGCTTATCACCCTCAAACTAGTGGTCAAGCTGAAATTTCTAATAGGGAGATAAAGAGAATATTGGAAAAGACAGTGAATTCTAATAGGAAGGATTGGGTAATTAAACTTGATGATGCATTGTGGGCTTATAGAACTGCTTATAAAACTCCTATTGGTATGTTACCTTTTCGACATGTTTATGGAAAAGCATGTCGTTTGCCTGTTGAGTTGGAGCATAAAGCATATTGGGCAGTACGTTTTCTTAACTTCGATATGCAGGCAGCTGGTGAGAAGAGATTGTTGCAATTGAATGAGTTGGATGAGTTCCGCAATGAAGCATATGAGAATGCCAAGATCTATAAGGAGAGGACCAAGAGATGGCATGATAGGCACATCTTAAGAAAGGAGTTTCATATAGGTCAAAGAGTTTTATTATATAACTCACGTCTTCGTCTTTTTCCGGGTAAGTTGAAGTCAAGATGGTCTGGACCTTTCACTGTCACCCAGATCTTCCCTTATGGAACAGTTGAAGTTGTTAATGATAAGGAGGAAACCTTTAAAGTGAACGGTCAACATCTCAAGCCCTACTTTGGAGGTGGTTTCGACTCCCAGACAGCCACCATTGCTTTGCTTTCGCCTGCCTAGAAGAGTTGGAAGAGTTTGGCTGCAAACTATAAAGCAAGCGCTTCTTGGGAGGCAACCCAAGCATTTTAATTTTTCGCATTTCAGCTTTATTTATTTACTGCATTCGAAAAAAAAAATTGAATCCTCCCAATAATAGTTTTCCCTAATTACTTGGTTTATTTTTGTAGAGACCTATCTTCAAGTTTTCTCCAAGCTTTCTACCCCAAATACCCCTATGGCATGCGTTCATCATATTCCAGGGGAGTTTCTCTATCTTAATTTTTTTTCCAGCATTGAGGACACTGCTGCATTAGAGTTTGGGGGTGGGAGATAAAATTTTTGCTGGAAAATTTTCGTGAAATCTGTGCTTAATTTGAAATTTGGATGCAATTTTCGAAAAAATATTGTTTAAAAGTGGGATTGATGTATGAGTTAGTCTTGATCCTGAGCATGTAGTCCATATTTCGAGCACTAGTCCTTACTTTTTGAGTTATGTGTACCTAGAGAAGATTTATGTGAAGTATGTGATTCTCTTATAACTCACCCAGATCTTAGAATTTGTCTGATTTTCTCTCGAGGGGAAATTCTAGGCTAAACTCAATTAAGAAAATGATTTAGGCATTCGTTGGATCGTTTGAGCCTTTCAAGCCAATTTTGTTTATTTATCCTTAGTCACCCCATTGAGCCTTATATTGCCTAAATTTCTTTGGACACCGTTATAATGTAGCCTGAGCTTATTGACATCAGTTTTCCCTATACCCTACAGACACGGATTCGTGATGCAAAAAAAAAAAAAGGAGAAAAGTGTTTGAAAAAGAAATATGTGTATAGTTAGGAAATATTGTATCTTTAGTACTGCTTGTACGGATCCCCATATCCAACTTTCAACTTGAGTGAGCCTTTTGGATACTCAATGGGTTGGAATTGCACTATAAAAGGAGGGACTTAGGGAGGAACTTCGCCGTAAAGCATGGAACAAGAAGCAATGGAAAACAAAAAGAAAAAAAAGAGAAAAAAAAAGAGAGAGAGAAGGTATGTACTGTTGTTGAATCCAGAAAACAAATTGAGCTATGGAATTGATGTGTCTGTAGGGTAAGTTGAGCTTAAACATATCTTTGTCAAACCCTTAGCCAAGCCACATTATAAACTTATTAAGACCTATTGATTCATGGTTGAGCTTATGGTCTACATTAGTGGAGAGAGGAATGAATGGCAAACTTATGAGATTTGGTTAAGTGGATTTAGAGTTTGGGGGCTTACATATCAACGTGGATTTATCTAGGTTGCATATAAGTTGAGGAGTTGAGGATTACACACACACACGGATTGCATGTTTAGGGTTAGACTTAACTTATGCATTGATTCTAATGTTTTTCGTTGAGAATTCGAGCAACTATGGTTGAGTTTGGATTTGTGTTTTTAGTTTTGGTTTTGCTCGAGGACTAGCAAAATGTTAAGTTTGGGGGTATTTGATAATTCTATTTTATATAGAGTTTATTTATTATTTTAACTTAATATTTGCTTAGTTTTAATTGAATTTGATGCCTACTTTATTTATTTTAATTAATTTTTGTAGGTAATTGAAGTTAAAGGAAGCTCAGGGACTAATTTTGTAATTTGCCGGCTTTCCACGCGTTTTGTCCTCCTAAGCTGCGTGAAAGTATCCATAACAATCCAATTGTTCCTAAATCGTGTAGAAGCTTCCCAAATTGGAGATCAAAGCTATGCAAATCTGAAATCAAGGAGAATCAAGCCTATTTTGGGAAGAAAATCAAAGTCCAAGCTAAAAAAGGAGTTTTATTATTGAGAGGAGTCCTAATTTGGAAGAACCTTTATTTGCAATCCTATTGTGATTAAGGTTTCTTGGAAAACAAGAGGAGGTATAAAAACGTGATTTTCAGAAGAGAGAAAAAGAGGAAGAGGAAGGAGGAGGCGATAAAAAAATCAAGCATTTGATTATTCTTGGTGAATCTGTTCTAGTTCTTCATCATGTTTAGTTTAGTTATTGTTTTTAGTTTAATGTTCATTATGTTCTAGACTACTTGTTGTTAGAGCTACGATGTAGCTTAACTATGATTGATTAATTTTCAAGAGTTGTTGATGCAATTCTAGATCTCGTATGTGTGAGTTATATATCATGTTCTTAATGTTTTGAAGTGCTTGATCACCACTTGAATGATTTTTATTGCATGATGAAACCGAAAGGAGATTCTATGCGAGTACTTTATGATATATAGCCATGAATTTAACTTAGATAGAGATATACTAGGTTGTTTGTGTGGTTTCGGTAGTAAGTAAATCGAGGGTGGTTTATTGAATCCGGGAACATTCATAGATTTTAATGCACTTAGGTTTACTTAAATTCACATGGACCAAGTGTGGGTTGTTAAATCTAAGTAGGGTTGCTATACCGGACCAAGGATAGTAATTTAAATTAGGAAGTTCTACCATCACACTATGATTTCAATTTGATTGCATGACGAGCTTGGTTAATTAATCTTGATTGGTTAAGTGAAATCGGATGCTCTAACGTTTTTAATTCTTGATCAAAGTCCTTTGCTTCTTGCTTCTTTGTGTTCGAAATTTCTAGGTTTAGTTTGTGAATTTCTATTTTCGATTTTGGTTTGCTGCCTTGGTTAATTTAGCTTTCGGAAATTTCAATCGTAATAGGTTAATTTAGTTTTCTTTAGAATTTCGATTGTTTTATTAAATCTTTAATTGGTTAGATAAAGTTGAGAATTGTTCACCTTTAGTAAGTAATTTGATTGATTTGTCTACAATCTCTGTGGGAACGATACTTTAATTCATCACTTTATTATTTGTTCGATACGTACACTTGCGTTGCTAATTTAAAGAACAGATAGCATCTTCATGAAAATCTTTAAATGATATAGCTTAATTACAAAATTATTAAATTTATTGTTAAGAAGGATATAGAGAAAGATATTTTATTTTAAACATAGTTTGTTAGATATGTTCTTTATCTAACTTAGACTGAATTACTGATAAGTCAAAATATAACTTCTTACCATACATATGTAGATAGAATTACGTTTGACCACATATGCCCGTGCAAAACCCTTGCCACCTAACTCATATACTAATTAACTTGGATGGTAAATGTAAAACACGACAAGATGTAACATATTATCTTTGGGTAATCTTTGTACGTCCCTGTAGACATATTGAAGTACCTTTTCTGGTTTTCAAATTGAACTCCTTGTTATAATACATTTCTATTGAGGTCCTCAACTTCAGTCGCATGATATATTTTATTCAGTATCGATGGGGTTCATGGAGTTTAGCGTCTTAAACAACTGAAATCATTCGCTTGCATTCATACATGGGGTTCATTTACAACAAGAGACCAATGTCTTCATGCACATGCAAGTCTACGTAATACAAGCATTCACAAGAAATAAGAAAATTCACAACCCTAGACATGTATGCGCGTGCGCGCACACAGACGTTTACCAGGTCCCAATCTCTGTATTAACATGACATTGCTCTATTGTCCCAAGCAATTATGCAGTTGGATATGAAGCATCCATGGCGATGCCACAAAGACCTTCCGCAGCATCAATGTCCCTCTGCATCCTGATATATCCCTCCTCACCCCATCCGGTGCCCCACGAATTTTTGACCAACCAGTACTTGGTTCCGTCCTCACTCGTCCCGTACCCGACCGCGGTGACCCCATGGTCCAAATCGATTCCGCATTCCCCGGTGAAAATGCCGCTGGAGTAGAATTGGAAATCCGATTCGCCCGCGTCGATGGCCACGGAAACTGGCTGGTGGGCCACGGCCTTCAGAAGGGCGGACTCGCTGTTGGAAGGCACGTCTTCATATCCGGTGATTTTCGCGGCAGTAGAGGCTGCTTTCCGGGCATTGCAGGTGCCGTCGACAGCTTGGTAAGGGTAATTAGCCTCGGTCGTGAGGCCGTGGTTGCTGATGATGAACTCGAAAGCGTCGTCCATGAGGCCACCCCCACAACCCTGGTCTTCGCCACTCCTGTCACAATCCACTAGTTCTTGCTCGGACAAAGAGATCAGTTTTCCCGTCGTGAGTTGGGTAATCCCTTCCATGGCCGCCACAGCAGAGAAAGCCCAACAACATCCTATATTCCAAGGAAGATTCATGTAAGAAAAAGAAAGAAGAAAATTGAATGATTGAATGTTGTAATTTAACCAAAGAAGATCCCAAATATATATATATATATATTTGATTCGATGCCTTACCGCATTGGCCTTGGTCCTTCACAGGCGTGACGGCCCCCTTATTTCTCCAATCCATGCTTGATGGAATCGCAGTCACACTCTCGTATCGGAACGGCTTAGTGCTCGCCGGCCTCGGGGAGAACGAGCGCTTGTATCCAGTCCTTGAGGTCTTGAACTCCTCGCTCGTCAAGTCAGCGAAAGCATTGATGGCTAGCTTGTACGGTTTGTTCCCATCCTTGTTGAAGGACTCAACGTACTCGACGTTGTTCTTGAAGATCAAGAAGCGTCGTTCCTTCTCGGCAGCGTCCTCGTACACCCGCCCATGGTGAGCCATCCACTGCTCATGCCTCTCTTCCATGGTAGCTTCATGGAGCTCACGCGACCACGCTTGTGAGGCCCAGAGTCCCAGAATGGCCACCATCACAAGAACAAGTTTGCCCTCGAGTGTGGAAGCCATGGTTCACTCTTTGCTCTAGAGTGTTCTAGGACTAATTAATGTTTTTGGTGTTGTAAGAAGTGTGTGAGTTGGCCAAGGGAAAATGCAGCGGTTTATATAGATCGTGAATGATCCCCCTCCTCAAGAAGAGGCTGAAATTGGATTCCATAGTGGTGTGAATCTGAAGAGGATAGGAACCCGATTTGCCTGGTGAATCCGGCACGTCGTCTGAGATGTGGACTACCGAATTTGTGCCGTGGACGCCGTTTCCTTAGTGTTGCTTTCACAACAATAAAGTACACAAAACACCTGAGTTTTGAAAACCTGCATTAAATCATGTTTCATATTCCATGAAACATGTTTCTTGATACGCATTATTTTCATTTAGTCTTTCGACAAACTTGGCATTGTTTTAGAATCTGACTGAAATAGGCTCTTTCTCCCTCCTAACAGCAATGGCTTTTTATAGATAGATAGAATCAAATGGCCCGGTTGAATTGTCATTTGGTTTTTTGCAATCATTCTCCTTAATCAAACATAAATTCCAACGTATCTTATATCCATACCCCCATCATATTGCATCAATGTTGTTGACACCTGAGGTCGGTCGCGACAAATGTGGTCTCTATCTACGGCTATATCACACTAACGCATAAGCCGTCACTAGAAAAGATTCTTTCAATCGAAGGTAAAATCATGATTTATTTATTTCTTTCTTGTTTTGGCGATGCGAACTAGGTTAATGATAGTATTGTATATGGCAGGTCTTATTGTCAGTTTGGTGTAGCAATGCTCGTGTTGCTACTATACTGCGTTATGGCCGCGCTGTGAACTTGCGTGTGGTAATTCCATACTTATAAAGCTGCAGCACATTAAAAATGATATTTCATTTGGTGGTACATGAAGAAATTTACGAAATTGCATGACAGTTATATTGAGAATTTTAAACCATAATTTCATATAGCAAATCTATTACTATTAATAACATTGTAACATCATCATGAGTTTCCAGGAAATTTTGGAGCAAAACTTGAGGTTGAAACTCTCCACCTGGTTTGCGTAAATCATTCCTTTGCTAACTGATATTCGTTCATGTTCTATATCACTAGCTGACAAGATTATACCACAACTGAAATTTGAAGATCTGCACTGGAAATAAACATGTAGAGGGTCGGTCCAAGGACTTAAAAGCTAGAAAAGATTTAACATGAGAAAATCACTTTTAACTGAAGAAGAGGGTGACAGCTGAGAAAGGGTAAATGGCATTTCTTTCTTCTGTTTCTGTACAATTGACCAGATAAATAATCTAGCATAGTTCCTGTAAAAGAATCCTTTATATCTCCACAAAATCATCGTCGCCGTCGTCGTCCTTGTCCCAGTCCACATCAAAAGAGCTTGTGGATTTCATAAGATCCGTTAGGCCAGTGAGATCCTCCAGATAAGTTGGATGATTAATCGCCTGAAGTACGAACTCCATTCCCCTATCCTGATATTCGGAAACCACCTGCACAAATGTTTGGGACTATGAGAAAAACTAGATGGAAAGGATAAAAAATGAACCCGATCACAGATGAAACAGAGAAGTAAGTCATAAATGATGCAATCACTTCACGAATTCGCTTGGAAGTTGCTAAGAGATTGATGTGTCAGCTAGTTTCCAGCTGCAACAGTACCGTTTCAGTTAATCATTTTTCACCTCTAGTTCCTGACTTCTAGGGGCAAGGTATATTCGGTGACAGGTTCAGTGACACTATCAACGACACATGCATATTCCAGTTACAAAATTCCAGATTCTTAAAAGGGCTATATACAGGATCAATTGAAGGTTCTAGCCCTAGATCCTGTCACTGAGCCCATGCTCGCCCTTTCCTTTCTATTCACTTTTTGGTTATATATACTTGATCACCACATCAAGTGAGTCATTCATATTCAACTTTCCTATGTGAGGCAGAGGAATGGTAACCACCAAAGACTAGAGAAATGGAAAAGGGTACTTGAACTTGTGGGATACACAAAAATGGGGCTTGCAATTCTTACAGTTTCAGAACATGCAGTACAACTTCTCGAGCTGTGACCCACTAGACTGATCTGAGAAAACTGCGGAAGGGAACCTCGAATCTGATGTGGCAAAATTCCAAGTGGTTGTTCATAGTTCGCACTTATATGTGCATTGGCATGCTCACCTTCGGCATGGATCCTGCTCAAAGAGTGGAAATAAGAACATCTCCCAGAATGAAAAAAGTAGTAGATTCTCCAACTATAAAGTTTCCACTGATTTACCCATGAGGATGATGCAGAATCCCAACCAACAGTTCGACCGCAAGAGCTGAAGCAATAGGTGCTAAACCTGGACGTGTGACCGTGCACTGCTGGTCAAGAGTGCGATTTGCAGTTGACTGCATCAAAATAAAGGTATCAAAAGCCGAGCATCAAACAGAAAACAGCGCCAAAGTATCAAATGCATTATATTTTAGAATATTACGTCGATTGGTGCAACAACATCATTGCAGAAGTAACAGCCCAGCCTCTGCAGACCATTATTATCAGAAAGCAATGCGGTGTCCATACTATCAGGTGGACCACTCAGAGTTTGAGTTTTCAAGTTTTTTGAAGAGCTAAAAGGACCCGCACCATGCCTCATTACCAAGAAGCTATCAAATCCTAAAGCAGCAGTTATGGTGATCTGTAGGAACCAGAAACAAATGAATCAGGGACATCAGCAGGCGCTAAACATTTAACTGAAACTGAAGAATACAGCATTCAATCATTAAACAGGAATATGTCCACCACTATGAGTAAGTATGATATGGTGACAATAGCACAAACAGAAATCCAGCCAGCACAGAACACGAACCAAAAAGATAGTAAACAAAGAAAAAGGAGAGAGAACCTTCTTAGAAGCAGCTGAAAAAAGCGTGGGTAGCCACCGACTTTCCCTCGTGTCAGTCAACAGAAAAACTACATCATGAGAATTAATCAAGTCATGTAGGCGTCTGCAATCATTCAGGACACTTTCTTCTTCTTGGCTAGGAACAGGATGCCCAGGCATAGGTATAGCCATTATGACACCTTCTGCTTCCTGAGAGGATTCAGAGCGAATAAGGTTCAACTCTTAAAATTACCGGCTCATGAAAAGGCAAACCATTAAGGAGGCATCTTCACAGAGGGTATTCATTTGAACGGACGTAAACATTACATACCACAGCTGGGAATATCTGCTTGAGATTTTTGACAGCTGAAATGGCTTTAAACTCACCACCATTCAAGCAATCATTCAGTGTATATAATGACTGCCTCAGTGGATTTGACATTGCCACTTTCCCGCTATCAACTAGGGTAATTTTCCTGACACCCCAAGCCTACAAGTGATCACCGCCATTCAAGACAAGTATGAAGAGTGGCAATGGCAAATGAAAGCTAAAATCTCCAGGACTCACCATGAGCATGCGTGCAACCTGGCACCCAAGGGTGCCAGCCCCCAAAAGAAGACACTTGGTAGCGGATAAGATATTTAAGTCCAGTGAGGGCAAAGCACGCCATCTCATCAACTTCAAGTTCAAATCTGCGGCAGATATGGCTAACCTGTAATTTAAATTTACACAAAACTAAGTACACAGATGTTGGCACAAACTTAAACAAGAGATGATGGAGACAGTATACCTCGTCGGATCCATTGCTTTGGCAAGGTTGACACATTTTGAACTTTTTTTACCCATGTTGTACTCCCACCCAACAGCATTAGGCATGGAGTTATGATCCTTCCAAACTAACAAAAATGGGACAAAAAAAATTACAGAGATGATAAATAGAAAAACCCTTAATTCTGTAAAAAGCTTTCACTAAGCTTCCGCACATCTACCTTCTGGAACTGATATTAGGGCTTCACCAACAAGGGACAATCCCATATCTGCAAAACCACGATTCTCCCGATAGCAGAGAAAGTGAATCCTTCTGATGTTCCATTTGGTGAAGATAAGGGCAAGGTAGTTGCGAAGAGGCCAACCAGGATTGTGTGGCAGATGGCATGGGTCATAAAAACCAAATAACATCTGCATATAGAATGTGGAGAAATCTTAACATAGGTATCCACTTATCATAATCAATCCCTTCTTCTGAACTTCACTGACCTTCTGACCATTGCCGTTGCAGGCTTCCCAGTCCTTCAGATGTCTAATTCTCACAGACGAATCCGAAGCAACACTTACCAAGAAGAATGGCACATCTGCAGTAGACTATATGGTTTAGTTTACCTTAAGGATAATAAGGAACAATCAAGTAGCAATCAAAAGGAATATAACAAATAGAGTAGACGCACCGGCAGTTAAATTTGAATTTCTCCATTCCCTACAAGCAGTGGATAAGGATTCGGCCTACATGAAAAAAGAAGAATTTTCGTATCAAGGAAGAACTCTCTGAATAAAAGAATCTCTCATCTAGCCAAAAAAATTCACCTCCTCTGGGCTAAGCCACTGTGAAGCTGGCTTGATACCAACCAAAGTTGCTGCAGGTTCAAGGACAAGAGCAGGAAAAGCAACCCAATAATAAAAGTTCCACTTTTTGAGGTCAGCAAATGAGATGATAAGAAACCTTGAAAGCACTGCACTATCCTCCAAAGCTTTTCCTGAATGAATGTCGTCCCAAATCTACTAAAAAACCAAAAAAAACTAGTAAAAAGGACATCAAATAAAATCGTTTCCTGCTATTAATGCAATAGAGGAAGCAAAGTCATTCTGCATTCTGCAAATAGTGCTTTCTTAAAAGAAGAGAATCAATCGCAAGTTTTAGCATGCTACAGATGCCCATTAAAGCTATATGCATAAAACACAAGCAGATCAGATCAGCAAATTGGACTACTACTTTTTGCTTCTTTAAATGTCACAAAAGTGCATAGGACAGCTGACCAAGACGCAGCGGAAACTAGCAGATACTACTAAATAAAGCTTCAGGGCCATATGATCAGATACCTTCTTGGCTTCAGCCTTTAACAAGCTCTGTTTGTCAAGAGCATGGTAGCCCTCAAGAGTATTTGTGTTGTATATCGTGCCTGGCACAGAACACTTGTTCCTATTTCCAAGACTAACTGATGGCGTGCATGCTTGTTCACTTGCTTCCGTTGGCAAAGACTCAGTGAGGAGAGAAAGATGATTAGATACCTGAGCATGTGAACAGGGAGCATAGAAACCTGCAATGTTAAGTTGACACTTCAAACATCACAATAGATCATGAGCAAACCTTTGCTGCTATTCCAGGTAATCCAAAAGATATGTGAAAAACAGGGGACAAAATGTCATTGAAGAACTACATTTGAGGAAAGCAAACACAAAATAAAGACAGTTATCCGAACTGAACCGAGCTCAAAACATAAAAGAAGAAGGGCTCATCATACTAATTTAACAAATTGATTCATAAGAGCATAAAAACAAAAATTTGAATAAAGTCGTCAAAGCCTGCCAAGTCATTTTTGTCGAAGAAATAAATATGATATGATTTTTTCACCAAGTTCATAGCAGACATTCCAGCTCACTTACAATCAAAAGAATGTATTCCCTCGGTTCACTTGCCCAGCAATATCATAATCAACATCCAAGAAACAAAATAGGGAAGATAAAATGCGATACCAGAAATGGAAATAGGAGAGTCGTCAATGCCTAATTTGTTGAGCTTGAGAGAAGACAACCGGTGCCAGAAACCCTCATCCACAACACTCTGAAACGGTGCAAACTGGAGAATGGGCTTCTTCTCTGAAACATCAGCCATTTTGTGCGTCCTTTCTTTATCTACTTGACAGCACAACTGTAGATGTACTGATACAAATCTTGTCCTCCAATCGAGTCAAACTCAATTCAATTTTGCTTGATTCAAGTGGGATCGGTGGTTTGCTCATAGAGGCATCTCTGCAACGAAATCCAAGACACAGCCAATTTCAAGCCAAACTGACACCTGATCATGGAGAGACCTTGTCATAACAAAGAATCATCAAACTGCGCAAGGCACTAAATATGAATAATTCAGTTTTCAATGTATTAATTCCACAGAATACCATGGGATCAGTGGATTGGGAAAACTAAAGTTTCCTCATTTGGCTATTTAACAAGTGCCTGGGGGCACACCTTAACAAATATTAAAAGCAAACAATAGCTCCTTTTAAACTTTCAATTCAACACACAATACTCAACTCAACGAAAAAGGTAAACGTTCAGGCAAGATTAGCACTCTCGTCGCAAGACGAATCTCGACGAAGTCCCCCAGATTAGATCCCAATGAAGCTGAACTTTCAACTACAATTTAAAAACTCCAAACCCTCTTTGCAAGCCAACCCAGAACACGTCGGAGATAAACAACCACGAAAGCAAGCCAAAAACCGTATCTTTTTCTATCAAAGACGCAGGTTCACCAATTCACATGCGTCCAATTCCACACGGAACACAAAATCCGCAGCGCCAAACCCAAGAAGAAGCCCAACATGCGGCGAACATAAAAGAACTGATTTTGACAACGCACAGCACGAATCGAGTGCGTGACGATGAAGCTTCCCAGATATGAATCAGCAAAACCCATGTGGGAGATGGGCAAAAGGCGCAAACAATCGCGTCCACAAACGACAACCCTCAAGAACCAACCTCTGCCGGGCCAATCCTCCCGATGACCCGGCCGGCCGGCCTCGGGGGCGGCTTAGCTCCGTTCGCCGGTGGGCGGTGGCGGCGGCGGCGCCGGTGGCGGGCGATCTCGGCGGGTCTGAGGTGGTGCCGTGCGGTGGTGGTGATGGTGGTGGTTTCGTGCGTTCGGGTCTTGCGTGGGGCCAGGACAAGGCTTTGGAAGTTGGGAGCTCTGTTTCAATGTATCGTGTTGACTTTAAGAGCCCATGCGGGACAACTTGAAAGACAAGAACATCCGCAGGTATAAAGAAACACGAAGTAGGTAGGAGACCTTCAAGACATGTACGAGTAATTTCTTTCCAAAAGCATAAAATTGAAAGGAAGAAGCTTATTGGAAGCCTTGAAATTTGTGGCGAAAGTGTGATTAAGTTCTAAAATTTTTCAAGAGTATAATTAAGTTCTAAAACTTATCATAAAGTGAAATTGAGTCCTAAAACTTTCAAATAATGCAATCAACTTGTCAAATTGATCCAATCAATTTGACACAAAGTGCGATCAAATCATAAAATTTGTCACAAAGTGAAATTGAGTCCTAAAACTTTCAAATAATACAATCAACTTGTCAAATTGATCTAATCAAGTCATTTTCTTAATTGCACATTTTGAAAATTTTAGAATTGGATTGCACTCTCGTAACAAGTTTTAGAACTTGATTGCACTTTTTGAAAATTTTGAGACTCGATTTCATTTTCGTGTCAACTTTTAGGACTTGATTGCACATTCGCGCATAGTACACTTATCCCTTTAAATTGCATTAAAAGTCCTGAAACTTATCGCGAAAGCACAATTAGGCTTAAAACTTTCGAAAAGTCCAATCAAGTCTTAAAACTTGTATAATTGGTCCAATCAAGTCTCTCGTTGATTGAACTTTTAGAAAGTTTTAGAACTCGATTGTACTTTCGTGACAAGTTTTAAGACTTGATTACACTTTTAAGATAAGCTCTAGAACTTAATTACACTATTTGAAAGTTTTATAACTCAATTATACTTTAGTAACAAATTTTAGGACTTCGAGTGCATAGGAATCATCAATTAAGCATACTAACTATAGTTAATATGTAGAATTTTACGACATGCTCGTTATATTTTACGGAATTATTGAAGAACCGTCACAACGGCATGCGCAGTCCGCCAAATCGGAAGGGGAAACCTTAGCATTAACATGGAAAAATATGCTGTTCCCGACTTACACAACAGAAGCTAACAACAGTAATTGCAAAACCTGATGCTGATTGTCCTCGGTCATGTTGACTATGCACCAACACTAAGTATTCACAAGTATAACCAATTTTCCCTTTCAGTTTAGCTTGTATTATGCCAAGTATCTCATCAAGGTTGGATTGTCCTTGTCCCGCTCTAGGTATTCGCGGAAGATCAAACCTTCGATCTGTTTCTTGATCGCTCTCACTTCCGGCTGCAAAACCGAATTTGAGGAGTTAGAGGACGGGGTAATTCTAGAGCAGCGACACGATTAGTCAGCATGAGAATGAACTGTTTAAACCACCAACAGTTCGCACGAAAACCTCATGTAAGAGAAGCATTCATCATTCATGCCCGTTAAAGAACAATTATTAACTGCAAAATTGCACACTTTACCAATCTTGACGATGAGGCGGCCACAAGAAATGCGTATGCAGAAAAGAGAGAACATAAATGATAGAGATACTTCAATAGCAATTGCCCCTGCTCCCATGGAAAAGAGAAGATGCTAAAAAGAAATGATCTCAAAGATTTGCAAATTGTTTTCTATATTAACGCCGTTGGTCACCATCTTAGAGTCCTGATCTGACTGAATTAGCTTCGCAACACTTTGGAAGATGGAGAAAATATTCCAGACATATCTGTATACTGAGAACAAACCAAAAAAGGAGGAAACAAAGACAAGAACCAGTTGCACCTTGAACAGGCGAGACAGCTGCTCAATGCACTCTGCAACTAAGTGCTGATGACTTAAAACCTTGCGCATCTTCATTATCCGCACAATTGAAGCGTCAATAGCACATCGCCTATCTCGGTCAACATCTTCAATCGTCTTCCTCCTTTCTTCTGCAGGTGGAAGAGAAATCTACAGCATAGGAAGGATTTAGCCATGAAACGAAGAGAGAAGGAAATACAAAAAGGCACGCTTGATGAATTAAGGTCAATCCCACTAGTCAAATGCACACCTTGATTCGCCTCATTCTATCAGTGAACATTGCATTGAACTCAAACTCATCAGTGGCTAATATTGTCTTTGAACTAGGGTACTTCTTTAAAATCTTGTACTTTGCACAAGAGAGAGAATGCAGCACTCTCATTAAGTCATTCTCTGCCATGTTTGACTGTGCCTTGATATCTTCATACCCAAATCGATCCGATCCATTAAATAGCAGCAGAATGGCAGCCTGGACAATTGCACACAATTACCAAACATTGGTTCTGAGAGACATTCCATCCAAAACACACTAGCTTTCCACAACACAGAACTTTAGTCGTACCTGATATGTTGACATGATAAGTTCAATAGGCTTCGGCTCAAAATTGCCATTAAGAGTGCAATTTCCCAATGAGTAAATCCAAGTAAGTTTCTGGTTTTTCCTCCTCATTTGAAAGAAATCCGTGAAAACTTCCATACTCTTTACCTGAAAGCAAAATAATTTGAAAAGTTCAAAGTCTTGGGGAAACATGTCTGATGTGATCCTAAATCGAGTAGGGTCTATGTTCCAATAATTACCATCTCAGAGGGAAGGTTGAGATCAGCGGTTTTGGTACTTGGCCAGAATCCACTTGTGAGGACTGCTACTGTCAGATCTATACCAGGGTTTGCAATTTTGTTACTGGAAAGATACTGCTCGAACTCAGTCTTAATATCCCTAGTCAATTCCAAATCCTTGACCTGCCGAAATCATAAGAAGCTCAGTGAGGGAAAATATCATTACTGAGTCAAAATTTAGCCACGAAATACACTGACCATGGTCTCCATCTTTGAAGTGAAGTATCCCCCATATTGCTGCTTGAACTTAGTCAAGATCCACTTTTCATGATCTTCATCAACACTCCGATCAACAAGTAACCGCCGAAAAAGTTTTCTCCTACAAACCATCAACAGATAGTTTAGAAGATGTATATGTTTCAATGAAGAAGGATTTGCATTGACTGATATACACTCTGAGCTGGAGCCAGAAAAAACAGAAAGCAATAAGGTCAGATATACCTGTAGAATTCGGCAAATATGTCTCTGTCGCCAACATAAGCAACCAGCTGTACAACCTGAGGATTTATTATGTAAGGATATCTAACACTTCCAATTGAGATAATTCTTGAGAATTCCTGGACTCTCTACCTTTTCGAGCGCTTTCTCAACTGCTTCATCAGTTAGTTTCCCATTTCCACCTGCCTTCAGGATATTGTCACAGTAAATCGCTAGCATTTCCCCACTCGAAAGACCAGAAGGACCCCAGTTGAAGAAAGTCCTGAAACTTTCATTAAGGGCCTGTATAAGGATAGTAATGGATAGAATTAATGATAACACGAGATGCTTGACATGAAGTGCTAAGAACATGTCTAACCAACCAACACAGTGCCAAACAAACCTTGTGAAACAGAAAGTGGTTTGAGAAACAATCAGTAACATATGCCAGATACTTGTGATGAAGCTCGATTATCTGCACTACAAGAACCTGAAAGATGCATAGCTAAAGTAATTAAACTCTCAACATACCCCCTGTTAACAGCTTTTGGCCAGATATTTACCTGCTGCCGCGCTGAGATCTCATTTGAAGCCTGTAAGCATAGTAGGCAAAAGTTCAAATTTAAAACAGAGGAAGATCAATCCACTTGGGTCAAAAGTTTCAACCCAAAAATCAGATGCTGAATAAATGTCATTGGCAAAACAAGCATGCATGATATGTGTAAGTTTTAAGACATGGACTTCTACTTGATTTCATTTCTCCCGTTTTATTTTCTCTTTTACACTGTATGCTACTCTGTTCAAGGGAAGGGACAATCACTGCAGAAAGAGCAGGTGCAAGGCAAGGATTTAATTGGGTTCATGGAGAAGAAGAGGTGCATCAACAGAAAATTTGCCAAAAGACGACAAAGACAGAGTTCATGTTTCTGAAGACTTTGTTTCAATGGTTCAATGGGTTAAAGACGGAAGTCTAAAAGAACAACAAACATTTGTGGACATGACTTAGTACAAACAGATTTAGCATCTTTTTTTTTCGAAAGGCAATTGTTATTCTTTTCTTCCCCATTGACTCAGTAGTTGTTCCTGCAACACAGTTTCAGCTCACTACTGAGCAGGATAAAAATAAAATGGACAAATTTTGTCCTCTGATTGACAGAACCTTCCATCAGACGAACATAATGAAAGAAATCATCAGCAGTGTACTTTGAGCTACCTTAGCAAAATGCATTTGACAAACCTTGTTGCTTGCAGCATCTTCACCCTGTGAGACTAAGGCTGTGCCTTCAGCAATAATGTGCTGCCAAAAGAAAATGGAATAAAAATGTTGCAAATCATGATCATGTAAAGGCAATTACAAATATAAGACAAGATACAAACCTCTTTGAACATATTGGCTACAGGCTCCAAGAACTGAGTCATTTTATGATTACGATACATCCTCGAAAGATCCTCCATCTAGAATCAAAACTAAACAGTTAGAAATTATTACATCCTCAACTGACTGACATTTTTTTCAAATATCCCAACAATAGGACGCACCTTATTATCTTTAACTAATGCAAGTGAGTAAGACAGCTCCATTTCAAGTAGCTGTTTTGAGTAGACCGTGAAGAGCTCATGCTGGACTATCTACAAAGTACATAAAGATCGTTTAATGAGATCATAGCGAAGACATCTAATTGTATACGGCATATAATAATTTAAGAAACGTTTGACTGGCAAGTAACAAGGGAAAGGCTTATATCGTTATGGTTGTGTTTGTTCCGCTGACAAAGGTTCCACGAAATGATTTTCCATACTTTCATGTTTTTGGTTTGCTAAAATAGATCGTCAACACAAAAGACTTTATAGTCAAAGATAACACCCTTACTTAAGATTATAAAAATGATTCCTCCATCTTTCAAATAAAACAGTCTTCCACAGATGCTCACAGAGAGCTTCAATCTAATCTCTCTCTCTCTCTCTCTCTCTCTCTCTCTCTCTCTCTCTCTCTCTCTAATACTTTTTGTAGCTATAGTTCACCTCATTGCAACTCGAACCTGTTTCATCTTCTTCAAATTAGGTACAGACATCAACTTTTAAGTCTTCACATATAAGAAAATTGGACATACCATAGGCCTGCTCGACTAAATTATCATCTTTCATATGATTTTGCCCTCAGTCATGTGACTCATATTGTTAGAGGATGGCATGAAAGGTGTTTGTTAAAAGCCAAGTTAGGATGTTCTTGTCTTCACTTCTTTGATGACACTTCTTCTTTTTTTCTAGTTTGAATGGTTATTGCGGTATCATTCTTTGATTCATTCAGTCATTCCATCTAGGGATGGAGAATTATTCTCACATGAAGTATCATGACCTCTGAGAGATGAAGTTCGTCCATTATCTGCACCTTCTTTTTTTGCATGCTTTAATTCTGTTTTCTGGTGTGGCTTCTTCATTTTGGTAATTGGGAAATTGTAATTATTTACTCTATACAAGCATTTTAATATCATTGTGATATTTCATTTAAGGAACTCAATATTGTTATAACTAAGAAAATAACTCTTGAAAGTAATCAAGCACAGAAAAACTTTTTCTGTCTCGCTTTCAAATACAACACTACACAACGAAAAACTAGTCATGTTCCCTGAAATTGATTATTGCGAAAACACTTTCCTCCGTCGTGAAGTTTTCTGCAGAACAAGCTCACTCTAATTTATGAGCACATCAACAGTTTCCTTAAACATCAAGCTATAAGCTTAAATTGATATAACGTACAAAATTGTAGACGTTGTGCATATGAACCACTCATCCAGTAATAGAAAGCATATAATAAAGGCCCTAGCATCATAGTTAAAGTCACAAGTTTTTGCCATTTTTGGTCTTTTTAAAAAGGTTCTTTAGATCAATTGAAAATATAAATGCACAAGAGTAATAAGAAAACCTAAGCAAAAACTAACTTCTGCCAAGTGCCAATTATATGCTAACCTCTATCAGCTTCCGCTCACTCCTTGATAATAGAACTTGCGAGATTATTTCTTTCTCCTTTTTCAAGCATTCTTCGGCCTGTAAAAAATTGAAAGTAGGTATTAGAAAGTGCAGTTAAATATTAATATTCCCAGTTCCATCATATATAATGCACTTCTACCAGTTACCTTTGACCAGTAATTGTGACATATATCCTCCACATGACTGTAGTCCTGCCCGGTCCAACTTGATGCCTTACGAGAATAATAGATCCTAGTTTCCGCAAGCAAATATACTTCAAAGTCTTTTTCATAAAAGTCCCTTTGTCTTTCTCCAATTTCACATTCAACATAGACATCTAATACATTCTTCAGCAAGGATTTGTCCACTTGATTGCCATCACGGTCCTGATTAATCTGCTCCAAAAGCACGAGACACTAAAAGTGATCTACCATGATCTGTAAACTAAATAAGTGAACTGTCCAAAAAGATACTTACCAGTGCAATTATTGCATCTCTAATTTTAAATTTCATTGTTTGGAAGACCTGAAATGATAAACAATGTGAAAGTTTCAAACCACACAAATTATAAAGAGGAAGGATCCGATGAAATTCTAGTCTAAGGTGAGGCTCAAGTTAGGGTTTGTCATTCCATGCAATGATTTAAAAAACGGACCGAATTGGCCTGGTAACAGGTTCATGGTTGGTTTGGTCTGGTTAATAACCTTAACAAGAGTTGGTCGAACCTGGTCAAAACAGGGTTTGAGTTTTGACACGAGTGAAGCAGCAAACCACAATTCAATCGGGTCCATTGGAACAAATCAGTCTCACCAAAAACAACTTGAATTTTCACCTGGTTGAGTTGGGAACCGAAGGCAGCCCAAGAGATGTGGTTTCATGCAGCAACCCACTCAGCTGTGGCTTTGTTTCCCACTCTTAATTATCTTTGTTTCTTTGTTTTTTTTTTGTATTGGAAACAAACTTGGCGGCAAAATTGGAAAGAGAAAAAAGTATCAGCTTCAGATCTACAAGTTGGGACATGATGATTTGGATGTGCGCCCTTCACCATATTCATTTTGTATTACATATGCAATTAAACATATTTATACTGTATCTGTAACCAGCCGGTTCACGGGTAGAAATCGGTAACTAGAGCCCTAACTGGTTTTTACGCTAGTATGGTTATGGAAACATACAATTTAGAGATAATTTGTGCTACAGTGAGGTGGCTAACCTCAGTTTTGAAGCAACTAATTCCAATGTCCCTGAGTGAAGGCAAACTCCTCCGGGAAATAAAATAGCGGTCAAGGTAATGAAAAACTCGCGCAAGCCATCTAACCATCACTTTATGATTCTCCCATCTTCGCACAAACTCCTTCAGTAGAAACTCATTGTGTTTACGTCTTAAAGATGGCAACACCTTCAGCAAAAAACAGAACAACAAAGATTTTGTCATGAGACAGTTAAATCAGATAGAAGAGGATAAGACTAAGTTAAAACTGCTTTATCTTAACGATCCAGAAGAAAAAGCTCTAAACTATTAGCACGACCCATCAACTGATTGAGCATCATCTTACAATTTGAAGAACAGACTTCTTACTCCACCAAAAAGGGCCAACAGAAATGTGGTCAGTTTTGACCTAATGTCATTGAAACTTTCTTTCGCTTAAAACTTGGACATTTAAAAATTAAATATCTCTTGTGTGTAATTGACATAATGAATAATCGGGCAATAACATGATCTAAGGGCATGCTTTTAACATACCAAGAGGAGACTATGTCATCACTGAAGTAGCCCTGCAACTATGATCCAGGTTCAAGGAGAGTCCCTTTCTCTAAGTTATAGGGAAAAATACATTAATGCAAGGGATGCATGAGCAGTAAATACCCAGAACTTATTAGTTTCGGTCAATATACGGAATCCATTATACCGCACAAAGATACAGTGATCATGTCAATGGGTTACTTCCTCCGTTTCCTTTTTAATATGCACCCCAACACGCACACATGCACGCACGAGAGAGGACAAATTCTAACATTGAGACTTCCATTGCCCTAAAAGAGTACAAATGAAGCAGTTGCTAAATAACTGTTTGAAACTTCATCGAATCTAACGGGAGAATATTAACCGTCAGCCTACTGAATACCAAATTTGCTGCAAATACGGACAAATCTTATCATCAAGGGTTCAGAATCCACAAATGTGCCTGCTTGCTCAAGAGTTACCATCACCATTAATAATGAAAGCTGACATTTAAATTTCTCGGGCTGATAATCAGAAGTTTGCACCACTTACATGTTTTTTATATTTATCATTGATGAATAGCTCTGTATAATGTACGGATACAGCATAAACCAAGATCATCTTCATAGACAAAACGACAAGAACAAAGCGCGGGATTCTCACCGCCTGGAGCAGATACTTTCTAATCTCCTGCTTGTATCTGTCATAAAGCTGCTGAGAATAATCATGGGGCGGCTTTTGAGTGCACATGTTGTAAACACTCCTGCAGTTTCAATTCCATCAAAGCAAACAAAGAAAAAACAAATTCTGTCAGCCGACATTGAACAAAGACACTAATTTGCAGCCAATTGAGGCGCAAGAAAAGCTGTTCAATTACGCATAGGTCATCATGAAGTCGTCTGCGCTCATCGGCGTGTCGTCGCACCCCTCGATAATGTTCTTCAGCTTCACTAGCACCTGCTCCACATGCCCCCACCCCACGTCGAGGTCCAGAGGAGGAGTACTCATTCTCGCAGGACCAACCCACGCCCACGACCAACACGCACACCTTCGACAAGCTGATCAAGAAACCACCAGACATCAATCAACAGTTCGGCCCATGCGGCATTTCTTGTTTCTTGCAAGAAACACCTCGGCAATTTGCCCAGAGACCAAGCAACAACATAACGACCACAACCTTAACTGGGTCAAAGAGAAACTCAATTACACATGTGCCCGTCCGGGCAAGTCGCAGAAACTCTCCAAGAAAGGCACGCGAAGAGAATTCCTGAACTTACCGAGGAACAAGAGTGGGAATCGCTCAGCTGCTTGATCGGCGGCCCGGCGGAGAAAGACGGTGCTCCCTTCCGGGGCGGCGGCTCCCCGAGGTGGGTCTTCGCCGGAGAAGCTTCTGGCGGACGTCGCCGGTGCCGGGGACGAAGCGAACGGAGGGTCCCTTCGGTTCTTGATTCCGCGGGCTGACGGAGGTGATCTCCGGCATGTTGACTCGAAATTGCATTATGTAGAATGAAACGGCAGAGGACCCAAGAACAAGACAAAAACAATTTAATTGGATACGGGATACGAGACTTTGTTACCTATGGCGTCATACAAAGTTTAGGTCAACTTTTGTGAATTTCACATGAATCTCATTGATCCCGATGGTCCGGTTCATCGGGCTGATTTCTCGGACATCGGGCATCACCGACCATCTCGTTCGGGAGAAGAATTAGGGAAAGAAAATCGACGCGATCGTGATCAAATTAGGAAAATAATTTATGTCCGGTGCTTTTAAGGAGGGCGTGTCTTAATCGAGAAATATGTACGTGACTGGCAAGACCTATATTAATTAAGGTATTGACAGGGAATTCCTTTTCTCGATAATCGAATTTCAATATTACTTCTTAGTCGTTGTTCGATACAGGGTCGGGCATATAATGTGTTTGTTTGAATGATTATGATCGTGACAATGCCAAATATTGTGTACATGACCAAATTTCGGGTGTTACTTACTACTTTGGGGCTATTTCAACACCCTTTTTGGCTGGATACACATCATTTTCGTGGAGGTGATCGAATTGACATTGCATTGAAAATTTTAGTATGGAAATCCATAATTGTATTTATGTTTTTCTTTATTTTTCCTTATTTACCCATCACTTTATTGTTCCTTCCTTTTTCTCAATATACAATGTTGCAAAAAAAAAAACGGTTAATACCACAAAAAATCTCAAACTGGTACAGTTGTGACAAATTTATCCCAAACTAATTTTTTGACCACCAAAACCCCCCAACTGGTACACCTGTGATAAATTTACCCTCCGTTAATTTTTATTAAATTTTACTGTCGAATTTCTGAATTGGATGATACGTGACAGTTGACGGATATACTAATTTGAAATTTTACCCCTCCATTTGTCATAGGTTTGCTAATTTGTGATTTTTTGTGATATTAATCCAATTTAATGAAGGCTAAATTTGTCACAAGTGTGTCGGTTTAAACATTTTGGTAATCAAAAAAATAATTTGGGGTAAATTTAACACAAGTGTACCGGATTGGGATTTTTTGTGGTTAAAAAATTAGTTTGGGGTAAATTTATTACATGTGTATCAGTTTGGGGTTTTTCGTGAAATTAACCAAAAAAATGACATTTTGAGCTTTTTATCTTTCTATTTTATTTTTCATGCATTGCCATTTTTCTTTGTACAAGTTTGTTTCTATGGATTGTCATTTGACTCTTGCTTTTAGAAGCATAAAAGTAAAGGAAATATTCCACGATTTTTTAACAAGAAAACTATTAGATTCGATGAACTTCAATCGTACGACTTCTATGTATGTTTCCAGATTACATCAAATGCATTGAGTCGATGGTTTGCTACTATTTGGTGTTTGCCTTGATTAAAAACACAAATTTCATCATTTATAAAATTGTGATGAAGCTGAATACAATAAAAAAAAATTAAAAGATGAGTGTAAGTAATTTCGTAAAATTGGTAGAATCAATTTTTTTTTTAAAGGCATACAATTATGTCATTTTTTCTTATTACCAAAGTAAAGGGCAAAAGCAATCAAAAACTCTAAACTATGCCTACTGTAATACATTTACCCTAAACTTTTTTCGATGACACTAAAAATCCAAAACTTGTACATGTGTAACACATGTACCTTCCGTCAAACATATGTTAATGACAATAATTAAAAATCTGCCTATATGGACGCCAGAAAGCAAACGGTGTTGATATGGCGCTCACGTGAGTTTTGATTGAAAAATCATCTAATGAAATATTGACGGCGGGTAAATGTGTCACATGGTACAAGTTTGAGGTTTTTTATGTCACAAGAAAAAGTTTAGAGTAAATGTGTCATAGTAAGCATAGTTTTAAGATTTTTTATGTTACAAAAAAAGTTCAAGGTAAATATGTCAAATGGGCATAGTTTGAAATTTTTTTGTGGCTTTTGTCCTAAAAAAAAAAGAAGCAAGTATAAAAAATACAAAGATTAACTCTATCGCTTTCGGTTAATGGAGACAAAGAAAGTTTGAGTCAATTCTCCATTGTGTCGAGCTTTAGTGACATGAATATATGCTCGGATGGATGAGGGGAGGGAAGATGAAGTCTTGTCCAATCAAGTTAAACTTGAAAATGTATGGGTTAACACCATGAAAAACCCAAAATTGATATATCTATGATAATTTTACTCCGAACTAATTTTTTGATCACCAAAAATCCCAAACTTGTACAGATGTGATAAATTTATTTTAAACTAATTTTTTGTCAACCAAAAACCCTAAATTAGTATACTTGTGACAAATTTATCCTTAGTTAAATTGGATTAATACTACAAAAAATCACAAATTGATAAACATGTGACAAACAGAGGAGTAAAACCCCAAACTGCACTCGTCAACTATCACGTGTCATCCAACTCGGCAATTTGACGGTAAAATTTAATAGAAACTAACGTTGGATAATATTGTCACAGGTATACCAATTTAGGTTTTTGGTGATTCAAAAATTAGTTTTGGGTAAATTTATTATAAGTGTATCAGTTTGGGGTTTTTCGTAACATTAACCCAAAATATATAAGAAGCAAAAGTGTTCCTTAAGATCGTGCATGTAATTAGAGTTGAATGACCTAGAATTGGAAGGTGGTCCATTGGATTGAATCAGTCAGTGTTTCTTTTCTATGTTACTTGCTAAATGTAAAGTTTGGGCTTAGGGTTTGACTTTTATTTTTAACTATTCCCCATTTTATAAAATTTAAGGCATCCACAAATTTTGACACTTTCTAGCACGAAGCATATAAAACCCGTTTCAATATACAAATAAGGGATTTTATTGGATGGTTGACATGTGAAATAATTAATTTATAAAATCATCTTCAAATACATGCGTCACTAATCCAATAATAAATGTGTAAGTATATTTATACACAAGCAGTGGAACTAACAAGGATTGTATATAACTTTTTGAAATCTTAAATATTTTTTTACTTTTTTTTGGGCGAAAAGTCATTAATGAAAAGGTATAAATGTGGTGAGTCAAAAAGGCATATGATAAGGAAAATTACAACATATTCAAATGTTGAATTAGACAGATCAACATACATTCCAACAATAGTGAAATCCCCTTCATCCTGTACTTGGAAATGATATCGTTTGAGCGAGATTTTTTTTTTCACGTAAAAGGATGTCCAGCGTTAGCAAGCTATAGATTACCGGCAAGCGAATGTTCAATTTATGATAGAATTGGATTTGATTGCTCAATAAATTCTTCACCATTGCATTGAGTAAAAGGGAACTGAGATGGAAAACTGGAATTGATGTTGCTTTATGATCATGATTTCTTTGCCATTGGGGGGCATTGGTATGGGTGTTATGGAACGAGTGAATAAGATAAGTATGCGAAGTTAAGGAAGATAAATTGTGGGTAGAATTTAAGAAGTTCTATTCAAAGAAAGATTATTGATAAGCTAAGAAGCCCTTCTTTTAAGTGAGTTTATTAGTTGCTTTTGATTGTAGCAAGTTTGTAAATTTAATTGAGATTTAGTAAACATGGCATGCCATTTTAATAGGATTACCCAACATTAGAATTCGTGCACTATATCATGCACGCCATAATTTTTGTACGGAGCTCACTCCATATTTTTTTTTCAATCACTTAAGTGCTATTACTTATGTACAATGCTTATTTGAGTGCCATAACTTTTTTGTCCGATCACTTAAATATCATATGACTTTTCAATCGATCACTCGAATATCATCACTTTTTAAAGACGTTTACTACAAGTGTTATGTCACATCAGATTTTCAACATTTGGATGAATGTTTTTAAAAAGTTATGGCCTTCAAGTAGAAGTCGTACAAAAGTTATGATACTTGTGGCGTTCTTATCTTATCTAAGACACATGTACTATTCACATGGATAAACGCCATCTTGTGCAATCTTCTCTTCTTGGTAAACTTGGATCCGTGATCAGCGGTATCTATGAGCATCATGAATGTCCTCCTCGCCATTAGTGAAGCAATTAAATGTTGGGATGTAAATCTGATTCCTCTGTTTAAATGTTTGTTCTAATTCATGATCCTCCAATCATTCTACACTTTTTTCTAGCTCTGATGTGAAATGCGCTGGTCAGTAGATCACCCTCGTGATGGGGTCTTGTTTCCTTTTAAACTTCATATTAGGGTAATTTGGGGAGGTTGGGTTTTCTTTTTTCGATAAATAAGCATGTGGTAAATGAAGTTTTTGATCGATTGTGTTTCTCTAGCTAGCCTAGAGTGTTTTTTTTTATTGTTAATACCACAAAAAACTTGAAACTGATAAACTCGTATCATATTTACTTCAAATTAAGGGATCTCAATTGTTTTTTTTTTTGCCCCAATATCCTTAATCACTTATTTAATAAATATCGTGTCCATGGACAGATGTAATATGCATAATTTCATAAGTTTATTTTATCTCACGTTTTTCGATAACAACCTTTAAAAAAAAGAATCTTGAAAGATTTCGTCTTTCTATGAATACAATCTCTTGGTATAGTGTATTTTTGTCAATAATTTCTTTTAATTATGTCATTCAACCTGTTTGCTAACTCAATTAAGCGCTGAAAGTTAAAAATTCATCACTTAATGAAATTAAGCTTGTTTAATAACATCAAACGGAATTGACTTAAAATATTCAATTAAGTGAAAAAATCGCTTAATCCAGCAAGTGAGGGAAATGTTACTTAATTTGTTCTATAGAAAAGTAGTTGCGAGTAATTGAACTCTTGCCAAATATGTCGATAAAACCTACCAATAATAGTCATTTTTCAAAGTTTGGTATGAGATTAATAACATTCCGCTATCAATTTTTAATTATTATCAAATAACTTTTTATTTTTTATTTTCAGCACTTAAGATTGTTTCTCAGGGCATTGTGCCCTTGCGTCGAAGGCCGTTGTAAATCTGTTCAT